GGATTAATATTTAATGATTTACAATTCGAGACATATGGTATATATATGAGGGTTTCCTTGTTTGGATTATTTTGCTCAACGTACTACGTCTCGAGTTGTAGATTTTTAATTATTAATTCCATCTATTGTATCATCTTGTTGCTTGGATGGTTTCTGATCGCTACCTACATGATCTTGTTACTTGGTTGATTTTTGGTTTCATCTGATTATTAGTATTCCAGTTGCACGCCTCTATTATTATTACTATCATCACATGTTCTATTTCTATTTCTGTTATCGCATTGACCACGCATATATTATCATTACCGCTATTGTATTTGTTCCTGCCTTGGGGGATCTTGTCGTGTGTTACACACGCTGATGTACTCCTATTTTCTGGGTGTACGTCAGATTTAGGAGACGGACAGCCTCAGTTCGGAATCGTACATGAGCCAGATGATTCTTAGCAGGGGTGTCTTGTAGAAGGAGTAGAAGAACCAGCTGAAGTGTAGCAGTTTTCTTCCGTAGTAGTAGTTGGACATTAAAGCTCTTTTACCGTACTTTTCTTTAGTTGATGTTGGACTTAGTATTTTAACAGTATTTTCTTTATGGACTATGTATTTCTTATTTCCTAGTTGGATTATTTTGTAATAAGGGTATGTTGGACCCATATTTTATGTTTAGGATGATTTACTGTTGATGATATGTCTATTCTTTATTCTGAGTTGTCTTTATATTCTTGCTATTGTGATCGGGGACCTGTGACTTCGTATTGTATTTATTTCTAGACGCTTAGCGTATTGGATTGAAAAGAAAAGAAAAGAAAAAAATAATAGTGTATATTTCTTCTCAATCTAATACGTCGCGGGCTTGTTCGCGTCCCGATTCCCTGGTATTTTGGGAAACGGGGCGTGACAGTGTTAGTCTCTCAAGGGAGGTTAACACTAAGTTATCTTCAGGCCATAATAGTGGTCCCCTTTCACTTGAACTCGACTGACCGAGTACGGGTGAAAGTTGAACAGTTGTCGGTTGGTAACTCTTGATGTTGCATTTATGAGGAAAGCGACATGCGACTGTTCAAGCGATCTCCTGACGTCAGCGGATATGATGCACCATCTTCACTTCGACTTCTGAGCTGAGAGGTGTTTCAATTGAGGTGATCATGCTTCCCTTCTTGTGCGGTTGGTTCGACTTCCGAGGTTAATCTTAGCCGTCTATTTTTGAAGGAGTCGACCGCTCTGATCTCGACACGCGTCTGTACTCTCAACCTATATATAACTCATTTCGGAGATGGGGTTTCACTTTACAAAATTTTTGCATCCAAATTCTTAAAAATCCTAGATTTCTGCACCAAACATCCTCCGATCAATATTTTGATAATCAGAAATGGCTTTTGCTTCTGTTATCGCCGGCTGTAACGAGATGAGGATCGATCTCCTCCACTTATTTTGCTCAAAGATATGAGCAACTGAGCTTGGTGCATACTTTGATCGATTTGAGCTTCCTTGTTCTTTCACTTTTCAACGCTAAAGAGATCAGAGGTCGTATATCATCACAGTGGAGATAAGACACCAATTTATTTTAAACACTTGGAGTATGGGCTCTGATTGCCACTCCATCCATTCCTCCGCCAAGTCTGTGAAGCATTTGAGGGTGTCCCGTCACAAATTAAGTCAAACTCAATTGTTACTTTGGTTGCATATGTGGTGATTAGCCATCGGGTCAGTGTCGAGCCGAGCTTGCACATGTTGGGCCATCTGGTCAGTGTTAAGATGGTGAAGAATGAGGGCCATTTCTATCTTCGAAATCTTGGCAGCTTCAAGTTGGTGTCGAATGCCCCCGGCTCGAACAAAGATTGGAAGGAGAAGTTCATGTGGGTTTTCAAGGCTGACTCTATCCTCTCTTGCTTGACTTGGCCCGAGATAAATAAGGATGTGTTGATCCCGATGATATCGACAATATTGTTTGATGTTTGTGATTAAGGATCCGACTTCATACAAGGAGGATTGGAATTGAGGAACCCTTCTATTTAGACTATCTAGAGAGCTTATGAGAGAGAGAGGTGTTAAAAGCAGTGGGGGCCAGCTTTCTGGTGAATTCTGTCCTTCGATCCTTCTTGTCGACTTTACTTGGCCTGGGGTCAACTCCAGGAGGACCCATTTCTGCCTGCTTTCTGGGTAAGGGGTCATCCTCTGCTAGTGGTTTTCACTGTTGCTGCTTCAGCCGTCCTGGCCACCTTCTTGTAGGCTCGGGTGCCCTCCACATCCATGTATCCATGTTCTTTAGTCATCAGTTGCTCGAAGGTTGTGACTCGCTTCTTAACGAGTGAGTCAGCCAACTCGTTGCTCTCCAAGCCAGCCACGACAGCGGACATGATGACCACACTGCTAGGGTTATCGACTTCTAATCTCTTAGTCTGGAACCTCTTGAAATAGCCCCTGAGGCTTTCTCCAGGTTCTTGTCTCATCTGAAGTAGGACATGAGGATGTAGCTTTTGCTTGGTGTTTGGCCAAGAAGTGATGCATAAACTTTTGGCTAAGCTATTCGAAGCTACTGATGGACTTTTCGGTAAAGAGTTCCATCATAGCTTAGTACTTCCAGATAAGGTGATGGGAAAATACCTATAGATGATGGGCTCCAGAGCTTGCAGCATGGTCATCATGTCATAATAATAGTTCTGAGTATGCTTAGCTGGATCTCCTTTACCCTTATACTTCTCCACATATGACATCTTGAATTTCTCACACGTGACGTTCATGATGGAGTCAGCAAGAGGAGTGTTCCCTCCAATGGCCTTTGCAATTGGTTAGAAGGTCCGGTCGTAACCAGACGCAATATTGGTGGTCGAGGGGCCTAGAGTGGCATGAAGATGTTGAGGACCATGTGAGGCGGTGCCAACGGCATGCTCTTGACCCTCATGACCGAAACTAGGGCTTCTACCCATTGTTTCCACATATGGCTGGTAGTGTTGAGAAGGAGTTGTTGGCCTTTTTATTTTGATGATGTTTTAACAAACAATTTACAACTAATATTGTTTATCTAGTATTTGTGTTTTTTTTATTTATTCTAGGCAAACAATGTGTTAGAGGATGGATGAAATCGAGCATTCACGATCATATCCAATGGAGGTTGGCGAAATATTGGTATGAAGCAATACATTTCAAGTCAAGATCCAAGATCAAGCTTCATCCGCAAAGTTTACCAAGAAGAGCTCAATGAAGATCTATCAAGCTTGGGTATATTTAGTTTAGGTGTTTATAACTTGTGTGTTTCATACTTCAAGCTCAATATTACACACACACACACACACACAATTTAATGGTTTATTTGTTTTTGTTGTATCCACAAAATTTTTTACAAGCAAAAGATATTTATATACATACATATTTGTTTTTCTATGTGGATAAATTGTTTTGGTTTAGCTTCATAGATATAAAACAATAGTTATATTCATATACATATTCTTTTGTTTCATATTCTATTGTATTTGAAAAATATTGTGTTTTTAGATTATAGACTTAATAACAATATTTCATATCCTTTATCAAGTCTATAAATCTATTGGAAAGTTTTCAAAACTTTGTTTAACAATATTTCATATCCTTTATCAAGTCTATAAATCTATTGGAAAGTTTTCAAAACTTTGTTTAAGTCATTTTGTCAAAAACATCTTTATCAAGTCTATAAATCTATTGGAAAGTTTTCAAAACTTTGTTTAAGTCATTTTGTCAAAAACATGTATGTTTAGTTTTCATCTTTTGGACTAGTTTTGCAAAATGATGAGTTTTCACAAATGGGTAATGCAATCTAAAAAATTCCTTTTGTAACATGTTCATTTTCATGTTTACAAGCATTCCTCAAAGTTTTATATTTTTTTGAATTTATTTGCTATTTTTTAAAGAGGTTTAAAGTTTAGTTTTACTGTTCATTTCAGACTGATATTATGTTATCAATCGACTGATGCAAGTTTTCAGTCAACTGAAAAAATTACCTGGAATTGCAAAAAGTTTTTATTTTTTTTTCAGTCGACTGATCAGTCGACTGATGAGGTCGTCAGTCGACTGATGAGCTGTGAGCTATCTGTAACGGTCAGCTCATCACTGTAACGGTCAGCTCATCAGTCGACTGATCGAACCCGTCGGTCGATTGATACTATAACGGCTATCTGTAACGGTTCTTTCCTAGTGGCATTAGGGTCTAACAGGAGCCACAAAGTGAGCTTGCTGACGAGGCAGGGAAGCGACGCGCTCAACATAATCTTCTTGCTGTCCAGCCCGGGCTGCAGGCCTAGGAGGTGGTGGAACAAATAGCTGACCCACTGAAGGTGGAGGAAGGAAAGATGATGAGGGTTGTTGGGAAGGAATTCGACTGAGGAGATCAGTGGTGAAAGCAGCAAATTGTTGCTGGAGAGACTGCGAGATCCTCCGCGTAGACTCTTTCCAACTAGGCTTGAGCGACATAGCCCGCATGCGATCCTTCAGGGAAGGAGTCGAAAGTTCGACCAGGACGCTCAGAATCAGACATCTTATATGAAGAAGGATGATGGCCCCACGATGGGCGCCAAACTATTGATAACAGTTATTAAATAGGGGATTTTACGAGTGGATTAGAAGAGTGTTAGGGTCATCAAGCTTCTTCAAATGGCTGGCTCGGGAGCGTGCAACCCTCTCCTACACAAGAAAACTCGTGAGAGGCCGGAACTGGGTTCTCCGGTGTTTCCTCCAACGATCAAGTCAATATATGAACTTGAGTGGGAAATTATGAGATGATGAAGAAAGTTTCAAAGCTATGTCTAAAAACCCGTACCCCTTACCTTCAGCTACATGTCTCCCTTTTATAGAGGATCAGAAAGGCAGATGAGTAACTTGAGCCGAGTTTAGGCAGGCAGCTGACTCGACAGACAGCTGACAGGTGTCGGCCACTGACGAAGATGGAGCATCCAGGTGGCTAGTGCCAAGCGATAGCAGCTGCTTGGTACTGACGGTGCCTGATATGTCATAAAGAATTTAGGGACTAGAGCAATGATAACTTTTTCAGAGCATTTAATGCAAGAGCAGGCAGCTGTCGGCGTGGGGTTCAAGAAAACTACCACCCCTTCAGTCGTCCGGCTGATGGCCGACAAACATCGCCTTTGCAGTCGGCTACGCAAGTTGCCGGTTGATACAATGGGCCGAGTGTAGGTTATTCGTAGAGGCGATTGGTTGGGTTGGAGGATAAGTACCGCCTTTTTCTCGGCTACGAAGGTTATCGGCCAATAGAGTCGACCACATGGGCAGCTCGAGTCTTCCGAGTTATACACAAGTCTGATTAAGCGTTGTGCATGACACATGTTAGTTTCTCAAGGGAGGTCAATACTAAATAATTTTCAGGCTATAACACCTACCAAATTACTTTGAGTTTGCACTTGAAACAATTCTTACTAATATATCCACACAATAAATTCATACTAATTTCCTCTAATAAATATCGCGTTCAGTTTTTTTTTATGATAAAAGAAAACCTTACTCAAATGCGTGACTCCTAATTTGAACCATCCTACTCAGGGGATTGGGATCATCTACTCATCAACAGTAGCTCCTAACATTTGCTAATGCATCTCCACCTTTCATTTTGTTTGTGGATAAACACAAAATGAAAGATAGTCCCACAAAATAAAAGGTGGAGATGCATTAACAAATATCAGGAGCTACTATTGATGAGTAGATGATCCCAATCCTACACTCAGGAAGGGTTAAGAAGCATTAACATCACGATCTCTTTTTTTAAAAATAATAATAAAGCCACATGAGTCGAGTTTAAGACCGTGAGAGACATATTGGAACCTGCAATTACACCGAAGCTCAACCCATATTCGAGCTGGATTCGGATGTAACAGCCAAAATCCGACCCAGTTAGCGGACCTAACCCGCCGAACGAGTCCAAATCCCCGCAAACCAATCCGCAAACGAACGGCACAAGCACGTCGATCATCCACGCCACCCTTTGACCTGAACTTTGGCTCCCCACAACATCTCTCTACTCGCTTCATCCAACAAACCTACAAATTGAACCGAACCCCAGCCCGAACCATGCTCCTCAATCTCTCGCCCTCTCTCTCTTCGCTCCGCTTCACTTCCTCTCTCCCTCGCCGCTGCTGCTCGAATCGCCTCCCCTTTCTCTCTCGATCCCCGACAACCAGGCGGAGGTTCTCGTTGTCTGTCAAGATGGACTCCACGGCGCGGCGGCGCTCTGCCGGCGAGTTCTACGGCCGGGTAGCTGGAACGACCGAGCGAGGATTCGGGGGGGAGGTTGAAGCTCGAGGAGCTGAATTGGGATCACTCGTTTGTTAGGGAGCTGCCGGGGGATCCGAGATCCGATACGATTCCCAGAGAGGTAGTCTTTCTGAATATCTTTGGCCTATAGATCGATCTAAATAAGATGATTACCTTTGGTGTTGGATTTCGATTTTGGGGAAAGGAAAGAACTAATCTTTTAGAGCTACCTGACTTTTTTAGATTGGAGAATCTTACGGTCGGTTTGGATAAAGAAGAGGGTAGGGGAGGGGGATGATTGAACTAAACCCAAGGGGAGGGAGAGGAGAGGAAGTGGGTGTGATGTAACCAATTGTGTTTGGATAGATTACTAGAGAATGGAGACGGAGGGAGAGTGATGTAACCAAATGTCTGTGCTGTCTTTTGAATCTTTTGATAGATCTGATAGAACATGTAAATGAAACTGAGATGTTATTAGTGTTCAAACATTTAACTTAATATCCATAATATTTGGTATTAACAAATACGTAACTTGATCAAATGGAGATGCTAACTCACTGGACGCTGGTTAGATTTAAACAAATAGGAACATATCATTGAAAAGATGATTGGGTTCAAGTTACTCTTCTGTATATTAACCTAATAAGTGTATTAAAGATACACTAGCTTGATGCATGTTAGTGAAGATGTTACATTCTGTAATGTTGATGTACTTCTCATATATGTGCACCTTGGATATATTTAGTGTATTGTGATACTTCTGCTTCAAATACTTTGCAACAACCACGTTGGTGCCCATAGCATAGTTTAAATGTATAGATAAGAGGTATTGTGAGTAAACAAATATGGGATTGATTTCCTATATATATATAGAGAGAGAGAGAGAGAGAGAGAGAGAGAGAGAGAGAGAGAGAAAGAAATGGGTATACTTGGTACCAAGCACAAATTTTGTGCTTGGTAGTGAGGTGTCTCATTCTCATCCACCCATTCAATTGGGGGGACCACATTCACATATCCACCCATTCAATTGGGGGGACCACATTCAACCCATGTGAATATGGTCCCCCCATTTGAATGAGTGGAGGATAATATGCCACCTCACTACCAAGCATAAAATTTATGCTTGGTACCAATCATACCCATATTCCTCATACACACACACACACACATAGATCTTTATACACACACACATATATATGTGTGTTTGTGTATATATTTACACACATATATGTGTATATATGTATACACATACGTACATACTATGTGGAATGCACGTGCACTGCACGTGGTCAAATATTATAATTATTTACTTTAAGTTTATTTATTAACTATAACATTGTTGCAAAAACTTTATAATTATCATAATATATTAAATTTTTTGGATATTTCCATGTGTGATTTTAACATTTTGTCTTCCAGAGAAATATCGATGTTTAAAGCCTTCAAATATTAATGATTTAAGATTAATTAGTAATTTAAATGTATAATTTCAAAATATTAATGATGTAAGGGACCAATATGGGGAAAACCTATTATTATTAATAAAAAATAAATTCTTGAATTCATTAAGGAAAATGTTAGGTTTTATCAAGTCATTAAGGATTTTGTTAGTTATAAAAAAATCACTTCCACCTATTGTTTACTTCCACTTGTTCTTTATCTGGCGATCGAGTATTATAGATATTCAAGAATTTTTTTTATAATTTTCTAAGTTAGAATGTGCAAATTCAATCAAGAAAGAAAATATAAATTATGTGATCAATTCCAAAATCTGATGTTGTACTCTTTTTACATCGTCCCAACTACTAATTGATCTGTCAAAACGATTACTTTCTAGTTTCAAAAAATTATAAAATATAGTTTGAGGATGATTTGTACATATTATGCACTCATATTGATTGTATTTTAATAAAATAATTAATATCTATCCAATGTCAAACAACATCCATAACTTTAGCTCAAGGAGTTAGAAGAATACAATATCTGCAGTAATACTTATATCCTAGCTATGAGCTTTATAAACTTATAAGAATATGAGCAATATAAAATGACAACTTAATTTACTTTGTCTAATAATTTATTACAAATCATGAAAGACAAGGGGAATCAGAAAGATCATATACCCATCCCAAATAAATATTAAATTTCTCTTAGAGATTCTTATAACAAAAGATTTTTAGAGTTGATGTGTAGGATAAATTTAAAGACAAATAACCCAAACTAGTTCATTGAGTGATAGACTTGCTATAAACTCCAAAATTAATATCACATGTACCTTAAGTTGTGCTTTTGTTTAAGAGTTAATTTTAAAAAACTCCCCCTCAACTATGGAGGGCATGGAAACCCCCCCTCCCGTAAAACTATGTAAGACTTAAAAAAATTGATTTAACCCCAGTGAACTTTTCTCACTTAAACCTAACCTCTCAAAACTAACATCAATGTGTGACGTGTCTTATCTATTATGTGACAAATACTTGACTTGGAAAGACTAAAATATCAATCAATCATAAAAGAATTACCTTGGCTTTTTGCCAGATAAAAGAGGTGATATAGAGAGAAAAAGAATTATGAATTGGTTGTGATCCTTTTATTATCGGTTGGGGTTTCTTTTTAATTAAAAGTGCTTTCTTTGAAAGGGTATTTTGTCCAAATCACATATCGAAGTAACTATATTGATGGGGTTTGTTGATAGAAGCGTAAAAGATTAGGGGAGTTTTTATGAAATATGCTATAGTTGAGAGGTGTTTTCTAAATTGCATCAAAATTAAGAGGGGTTATTTATAACACCTCACAAAATGAGGGGGTTTGGTCAAATTGAATCAGTTGAGTGGGTTTTTTAAGACAATCCTCATAGTTGGGGGTTTTTTAAAAAATTAACATTTCTTTTAAATATGACTTATTTATAATTTGTCCCTCAAAATTTTAATAATTTAATAATAGTCCTTAAAATTATGAGCAATTTTAAAAAATTGTAGGAATAACATAGAATCATTGGATATTTAAAATCAAGAAACTAATATCTAAATAACCTTTACATATTTGCTCTTATAGGCATTCTATTAAATATCGACCAATATATTGCTATATCGGTCAATATATCGGGTTAAAGATTTTATCTCGGTAATATTTTATATTATTTTCTTTTATTTGTTGATTTTTTAAAATATCGACCGTTATCGAAAATATGGCCGATATATCCCTTTGAAGATATTGAGAAAATCATGTCATTTTTGATTTGATTGTTGGCTAGGGTTTGGATTGTGTTTGGGAAACAAAATCGGAACCTGCAAAACCCACAAAGACCATAATTCTTCTTCCAAATCTCTTCACTCTAGGCTCTCCCAAATCTTAAGCATATATCTTGATGTATATTCTTATGTTTAAAATTTATTAATATGTTAGATTACATATTACAATGCCATGTTATGTATGAATATTAGCTCATATGACACCCAGTATTACATACATATCCCTGATTTTTACACCCTGACATCATGGATTTTATATTTTTAATATTTATTTTATGTCCAACACTTTATAGTAGTACTTCAAAAGTCTCTTCTAAAATTTTCTAAGCGAAGTAAATAATTTCAGGAAATAATTCAAAATCTTAAAATTCATTCAAAATATGATGCTTTAATTTTTTCACATCTTCTCTACTATATAAATATAACCTAAGCATCTGGTCTTATATTATATGATGAATATTATTTATCAATGGGATCATATACTATTATTTGTGGATAGCAAATGTTTTAAATCTTTTGTAAGCTTAACTGAAGTTAAATACCTTGTAGTTTACCAAAATTATACTTATATACCTCCACTTGTATCTTACTGCATTTTTTTAAAAATTTTAGATAATGTATCTTGATGCGCTTAAATATCCTAATGTTTTCTAAAATTTAATGTTTGTACCGCTTCTGTCTTGTTACCTAAACATAAGAATGCTCTTTGTAATTTTCCTATATGAGTTTCATGGCATAATTTTAGGACAATCCTATATTTTCTACTCTTTCCATAAATATTTCATTGACATACAATTATCTATTAATATATTATTATACATTACTAATAATTAATATGATATAGAGTTTTATAATAACGTTGGAAGTTCTAGGGACCAAATTATGCAAACTTAAAGTGACATAATATAGTTAATTAACAATGACTAGATAATTAATTTAGTTTAGTTATCATTAGAATGTAATATCAAAATAGAATAGGGGTAATATAGTCCTTGGAAAGTTTTCCACAACTCCCTCTTTTAAAGGGAGTATGCAGGAGGGGAAGAGAGTCAGACTGAGGTAGGCTCCCTCTTAGCCTTAAGGTTTTCTTAGCAAGCGTCTCAGTAAAGAGCATTTATCTTAGTCAGGAATCTGGTGTCGGAACATAAATGTCTGATATTATTATTTGATTTATTTCATATTTCAGTTTCTCCTGTCAACTTGAACTATCATTTCAGTATGACTGGATTTTTTTTCCGTTGGATTTGCATTGGATTTCAAACTGTAAGTACACAGCTGGTATGAATCAAGTGAAGAGTGGGTCAAAGGCTATGTTACCCGGGTACTTCTATAATGAAGCCGTACCCGTACCGGACACGTACTCAACATTTTCCCGTACCCAAACTTCATGGACACTTCTTGAATATATGCATGCATTTATTACATGTACTCAATTATACGATATATGTGTTAATTTAAAACACACGTCAAAGACTTCCTGGACGTAGAGCTTACACTTCACATCCGTCTTTTGAAACTAATGAGATACGGGTCGGGTTCGTTTCAGTCCATACCCAAGTTCAAAACTATATAGTTAATGGGTCGTTTAGATGTCTAGTAATTTACAATTCACAATAATCAATATGATAAAAGAAACTAAAAAATGTAATCGGGATTTTAATTCTAATGACACATGAAGCAGGAATTTTTTATTTCATGTACATTATTAATTCAATATATATATGTAGTCATGTCCCCGTACCCTACATTTTACAATTTTGCCGTGTCCCCTACCCGTACCTGCATCCGTGCCAGTACCCGTGCCCGTTTCCATGCAACTTAGGTCAAAGGTCAGTTGACAGTCGATTTTCTGGATGATGCTTGAACTGTTTATTTGACAACTTCAAAGTGCAAGCTTCAAGGATGAACTTATTTGTTAGAGGTTTGGTTTCAAATTCACCTTGGAGTCCAGATAACATTTCATTTTCATCTAGATAGTAGTTTTGGTTCTAATTCTCAATGTTCTGGAAACTTCAGAGTTCAACTTTCTAACATGAAACTTATATGCTAGTAGGTCTGGTTTCTAATTCACTTTGAGATCAGGCATATTTTATCTGGATAGTTATTAGATTTGGTTTCTAATTTCTCAGTGATCCAAAAACTCTAGTTGGGTTGCTTCGATTCTGTATCAGATCTGATCGCAAGATGATTGTTGCTTACAAGTTGTGTTGCTTTGATTCTGAATCAGATATGGTTGCAAGATGATTGGTGCTTCCATGTCTGTCGAGGAGCACATAGGCAGCCTGGGCCTTTTGAGTCTTCTGGCTAACTGAAGCGCCTCGAAGGTTAAAGCAATTAAGCCACCAGTTACACACATCTAGGCCTTTTAGAGCACTGATAATTATTATCTTTTGTCTTTTTAGATGGGGCTAAGTCGGTTGATGCTTGGTTCTAGTTGGAAACAACTTATTTAGGAAGAAGTGTGATGTCTCGATGATTAGCTTTGTTTGGTGAATGATTCAATTGTTGAGATTATTGACTGAGTTGTTACTGTCATCCTTGTCTTTTGTTTGAATGTTCTCTGCTTATATTTTATCTGAAATATTTCTGTCGAAAGTTGCTTATCTTCATTTGGGCATTTTATACCTCTTACTGAAATGCTAAATGGGAAGAGTAAATCTTATTTCTTACAAGTATTATAATGGCAAATACATTGATTATAGTTTTATTGGTTTGCATCAGAAATACTTTATTCTGGTGGTCTTCATAACATCATTGATGTAATTATATATTAGAAAGCTGTCACTCTCATTGTTAGAGCTTGGAGCCATTATTTTCTATAGTTATTAACAATTTCCCCTATTATCATGTGATTTTCAGGTGCTGCGCGCTTGTTACACAAAAGTGTCACCTTCTGTTCAAGTGGAGAATCCAAAGCTAGTAGTGTGGTCAGATTCAGTTGCTAAGTTGCTTGATTTAGATCCTCAAGAGTAAGTTGCTTTAAAATGTGGACCTATTTCGAACATGTGGAAACACATTATCAAATCAAGAATACTGTTGGTCCTGTCAGTTGAATCTCTCATTATAATACCTGTGAATTGTTGATTTTCCCTTTTATAGAAAATTTTCATTTTTCTAATTGACGATGTAACTTGTTGAGCATACGTTTGTTGTTGTTAAACAACATTACCTTCTGTGATTAAAATAGCAGTGAAAGTAATTGGTGAATATCTTAAAAAGTTGGTGTCAAGAAACCTGTAAACTGCTACACATAATGTAAATGGAAATTCTTTATGGATGAATCCTTTCTTAACTGATGAATCCATTGTATTTGCGAAAGAGTGAAACTTGTCATTTATTTGATCGAGGCTATGTTTTATTGCAACTTGTTACATTTTCCATGCTACTATTAGTTATATCCTTATATTTCTTTGCACTTGGCCTTTTCATGCAAATATATTATGATTTGATATGAAAAAGTGCCCATTTCTTTATTGCTTTTAGCCTTTTAGGTTAGAGAGAGTTTTGCTTAGTCGCTGCTGCTTCCTGCTTTGTCTGGTCTTTGTTGGATGAAGAAAATAGTTATAATTGCGCATAAAAAACCAACCAAAACAATTCTGACTATTCAGGTCCAGTGAGTTTTGTGTATCTTGTAGATCTTTAAACATTAAAATATCATGTCTGCTGTCAATATCTTTAGGCTAGTTCTCATTTCTGCTTTTTAACCTAGGTTTCAGATATTGAATGCTGGGAGAAGTCCCATATGATCATGTAGTCAATTTGGCATTCATTTTGTTCATTTGTTTAGTTTTAGTGATTTGTAATGTAGTTAGTAAAAATTTATTTCTTCTTTCATAGACGCGGTTTAGAGCTTCATTGAGAGGCAGGAAGATATTGAACCTATTCTGACATTCATTTCTTTTCCCCAGATTTGAGAGACCAGATTTTCCACTTCTGTTTTCCGGAGCATTGCCTTTGGTGGGAGGGTATGTGTGGGTATACTCTTTTTGAGTCACCATTTGTTTTTACTATGTGAAGCATATTGAAACTTTTGCAGATTGCCGTATGCACAATGCTATGGTGGACATCAGTTTGGTGTATGGGCTGGGCAGCTTGGTGATGGACGCGCTATTACACTTGGAGAGCTTCTGAATTCACGAGGTGAACGATGGGAGTTGCAACTCAAAGGTGCTGGAAAAACTCCATACAGTCGATTTGCAGATGGCCTTGCAGTCCTTCGTAGTAGTATACGCGAATTCTTATGCAGCGAGGCAATGCATGGGCTTGGAATCCCTACTACACGTGCACTTTGTCTTGTTGCAACTGGGAAATATGTCAGCCGAGACATGTTTTATGAGTATGTCACACTAATCTGAAAAAAATTGTTGGTTGATTTATATGGCATGCTCTGTCTGGTGACATATTGGTAGTGGTATCTGTGGGCACACCGCATTATCATTCCGTTTCATGACTATATTCTATTCAGTGAGCTATGTGTTGTGCTAATCATGAACCTTCTCAAGCACTTCTTGTAGAAAAATCGTATTGATCTAAGATCTGAGAGAGCATGTCCTTCCATGGCTGTATTCTATTCAGTGAGCTTCGTGATATGTCAATCATTAACCTTCTCAAGCAATTCTTGTAAAAAAATCGTATTGATCTAAGGCCAGAGAGTTGAATGCATTTGAGGATTTTGAAGAACTCTTCTTCTTTACTAGCAACCTTTTCTCTAGGAATGGATGAGAGCACTGATGATGGTAGAGCAGCTAGAGCCTTAT